CCACTGAGACTCGAGCCTCACACCCCTCGCTCTAACCGCCGAGACGTTGTCCACCATGCCAGGGGTCACGATGGCCACTCCTTATACAACGGGTATCAGTTATTGTTATTCATTGATATACCCGTAATTCCGCGTCATTTCATTGAATGGTATTGCTCGACTTTTATGAGTATATCGGCAACTAATCACGCTTTGGGAGAGCCTAGAAAAATTAAACCCATTTAGTGTCGAAGCTCAGCCACGATTGTCAATGTATCTACTGCACTAATCATGTTGGCAGTAAGAATGTATTCGTTTCCAGATCCATTCTGTCGGACTACAAAGAAGTTGATCGGAATAAAGTGGATCCAACTTGGGGGTTGTGGGTTTCTTGCTGACTTCAAGTCGGTGTTCATCATGAACTGACGTCAGATGGAGGAACGTTAGAAACCTGGGAGCACCGGACACCTGTTTCGTGCTGACGTGAACCCGTAACCCACCCAGGGGGTTCTGAGGGGTCCAGGATGAATGCCTACCCTGGATAAGGAGGACTTCTCTAGCCCCTGTGAGCATCGATAACTCGCCTTCTACCAGCCCAGGGTTTAAATTAACCAGCGGGAATACTTTTTAGCAAAGAAGACCCACGTACACTCTGGAGAAAGTGATCTATGGTGAATCGGATTGTAATTGATGGCTAACTACGCGTTTTGTAGCCTCAGCCCAGCCAGCGACCAGTACATGTGGTCCTACCATTTGAGAAACTCCGCTTTCGCTTGTCACGACATTGCAGCGCAGTCGAGTAAACTTTTGAGGCTAGAGGTGGACATGTTCGTAAGCCTGACGTGATGCCTGTCTCTACCGGCTCTTAATGCCTCTCTGTACGTTTCTCGCCCGTTTAAATGGTCTATGCGTGTTGGACCCCGCCTCTTTTGTTCGGCCTAGTGGTATCTTGTTAACTAAGTAGTTTACGAGCAGTTACTTGTTACCCTGGTTGACTCGAAGCACTTTTAAGTCAAGGGTGGGACAGAACAGGTGATAGCACACGTAATTTGGTAATGTATAAGTTTCCATTAAGTGTCCATATTTTGCCAAACACGGTCCTCTATCCACTTTGTTTGCTTGCAAGCTCCTCAAGCAGCTGGAACATTCTCTCATCCCAAATTACGACGCCGGTTGTGGGGTTGTTGAAGAAGCCTGGTTTCAACCATGGAGTGAGTTAACGCCCCCCGGATTCCCCGGGGAAGAGCAGAACTCCCTAGAAGATTCCACAACCAATCACGCCATTGACGACGCTTGTGAAAGCCACTGACTCACTGAATGTTTTCGAAGAGCAGTGTAGAAAATATCAGGGCCACCAAAAGCGCGTAAATACCATTAGTTTTCCGACACGTTCCAACACGGGAGTGAGCCCTCTGTCACTTTGCTCCTTCTCCCCCTTTTCGAGGACTTGAGCGACCCCCAAGGATGAATCTTATGGTTGTTGTTCAGTGGCCCACATAAACACGAATAATATGTAAGTAGTGAGATTACATCGGATTCGCAAACACTGCAAGCCGAAAACAAAATAGTCATCCCTGTCAGAAAGAGGGGTACTGTAAGGGTATCAATCAGGACCTCTTAATTTACGAAAATGCAGTCTGGGCGAGGTCGGGTTTGTCCGCCTTCTATCGTATCGCCTATCTCACCCTTTTTGCTGGTCCCCGTCGCCAAACAAGACTGATGAACCGTGACTTAACGAAGTAGTTGCCTTTAGCAAATGTATGACCTGAAAATTAGACTTCAGGAGGTGAGTATTTCGTAACTGGTTGTCTCACTGAAAGGCCTCCCACATATGACTCCCCATCAAACACTTTGGGGCCTTAAACAGCCTTAGGTAGCGCCTTAAATTCCCTAGGGGCGGTAAAATACCTAACTGTGGATTTAATATGCCTCCACGGCCACATTACCGGCTTCCTATCATCACGAAACCAAGTGGTGTCGGTTACAGCTAGCTCCTTGTCTGGAACTTGAGGGGAAATCCCCTCTTGGTTACAGAAAGTGGATAAACACCAGTCCAGCTACTTCGTTTCCGAAGCCAATCGAGTTTTTCTGGCGAAGTGGGTTTGTTTGGATGTGGTGTACGCTGCCTACTTTGAAAGCACTTACTGAGACCTCACTACCATCCACCTGGCACATCCCTGGCGACAGGCGCCGGGCGCATACTTGCGTGAGGTTCGGCTTTGCAGTGTTTCATGGCTGTTCTCCTTTTTACGTTGGGGAAGCCTACCGAGGTAACAGCTGTCTCCAGTCTTCTCTCTTCCAGTCGTAACCGTTGGCTGCGTAACCTGCAAGGGTAAACAGGAACTACAAGTGGTGAACCATATCGGCTCGGCATTGATACCGATAATGTAGATGTTTTCACTGAGGAACAGTATTCCAATTTGGTTAGCTCTGACCCGGGGCAAACTTCTTTCAGGCATTTATGATACCGTCAACGTTAATATGCCCAGAGAAATCGTAGTCTTCATCAAGAATTTCTGGTCATGACAACAAAGGTGAATCGTCTTGGAAACTAGGTCATCCGGCATCGCTCCCACTATTAGGTCCATTTTTCTGCAATGAAACCAAAGGTTGTCACCTGTCTTGTCCCCGGAGTTGAGTATATTGTTAAAATTTCCAAAAACTCTAAGGCTTTCAGGGCATGGAATTCCAACGAAACATCCTCAGCATCAGCTTAGTTCGCTAGAGCCAAAATCATAAGTTCGGGCTGTGTAATCAAATCCTCTGAGTGGCGCGAAAGGAAGATACGAATTTTCAGAGTTCCCAAAACCCAGAGAGAAACCGCCAAAATCTAAAACAATTGGTTGCCAGAAAACGAGTGTATATTCAAACAGCAAGTGAACCCTGCGAAAATCGTTCTTTACAACAAAATATATCTATAAAGTTTAGTCGCAAACCTCCAATTTTGACGACTATTGGAGTTTCTATCTAAAACAGGATACGGTGGTAATACTAATCGACACAAGAGGCTAATATGGTTGTGCAAGTAAGTTGAATGAAGTCAAGCAAGATGAGCGGTTGGTGTCTTCAAGTACATCAGAAGGACAAAATCACAACATACTCAACTGGGGCTTTTCCTAACATGCTGGATCGGCACTAGGCCCTCCAAACTTAGTTGCTGTTTCAGACGTTATTTGCTTTCGCTTTACTCCGTTGCGTATATTTTAGCAAATGATCTCTGTTCCCTTATTACGTAGGACGTGTAGGCAATCAGCGTTTTCTGTCTGGATCATAATGACTGTGGATTCATCGCAAATTGTGGTGTTTTCCCAACTTCCGACAACGTTTAAACGTGCGCCACCTGGGTTTTGATTTATACCTGGGTTTAAAATGTAAGTAGTTCATTAGCTTTTTTACACACTTGTGGGTGCCCTGAATGATCAGCAGTCGAGTTTAACACGGCCTTAGTCTTGGCCTCCTTTGTTTCTACCCTCTGGTTGAGGGATCATGTGCAACCAAGCACATTCAGAAATTGACTGCTTTTCTGCAAACAACGGGTGTCCATACTAAATCATCCAGGCTCTTATTAGATTCACATTTTGGATTCAGATGTGCTGCTCGAGGGGAGAAGGCCCTGAGCCATGGTTAATCCCTTTCCAGGGGGTCTCCGTGCTGGTCCAGTTCTCTTATGAGCGAGTCAGTTGACGGTGTGAACACCACCTCTGGGAATCGGTTCCAAGAGCTGATTACTCGACGAACAAACCGGCGCATCCTTTGGTTTTGTATCCTATTATATCCCCTGCAGTTTCTCTGTCCAGTGGGAAGGAGATCGGAAGATAGATATGATCCAAAACCACTCAGAATCATGTGTAGCATGATCCGATGCGCCCTATGCTTGCAATAGGATGAAGGGAAGAGGTTAAGGCCCCTAAGTCGGTCTTCATAGGTCATGGAGATCAACCCAGGGGTTGCACCCTGAACTCTCTCCTTAAGATCTAAGTCACCTTTCAGACATGGATTTGCCGCCCGCGTACAGTTTTTTAGTCTAGACCCAACCAGAAATGTGCATAAGATGGTGAACACGTCACCACTTACCCTTCATACTTTCTGCGTAGTTCCCAAAGTGTCTTGAAACTCCAAGATGCAGACCCAATCGACTGTGTTCCGTGGCTGTCAGTTCATAACTTACTGTGACTCCAAGGACATTGTGGATGGGGATTGAGGTTAGAAGAGTCCCCCCGATATGGTGGATGCTATCGTCTGCCCACGTGCATGATCAAACATGTACATAATTTTGTTTCCAGCAGGCACTTCACTGACCAGGTAAACCAGCTGTTCAGGCCTACCTGAAGCGCACTTACCTCCTCGTTACCCTTAATTCCTCACCATCTTTTTTAAATCCCAGAATTAAGGACCACAGGAGATTATGTGATATTCGGAGGCTTATTTATGTGTCGAAGAAACTGTCTGGGACTCAGAATTGAGCCTTGCAATACTCCCCTACCTACCGACCTCCAAGAGAAGAGTTGAAAATCGATCCTTACTCTCTGCCTTTTACTAACAGGGAACTCTCTACTCCGTGCAAGTGGACTGCCAGTGGTCAAGTAGCTTTCCAGTTTCTAGAGCAAACATGAATGAGGTCCCTCGTCGAAAATCATACTCGAGTTCATAAAAATGGCATCCGTGGGCACCCTGCCGTCGTCCAACGCCGATTAGCGATAAGAACCAAATAGGTAACTGTGGGACTGTGGATGCTATAGCACTAGTTAGGTGCATCATATTTACAGTCAACCAATCTTAGTGCCTCTGTCAGATAATACGAGTGATCCTCCTATCCACCGACTTTCGTACAGCAGTTTGTTCACTTTTTTATCCAAAAACGATATGAAACGAAAAGAACTGAGCGTCAAGACCTAGAAGCAAGAGCGCAAAAACTACAAGTTTTCCTAATGGGATATTGGAAACATAGCTTCATGCACAAGATTCTCTTATAGCGTTATAGAAGCAAGTCAAGGAAACTTAATGTCCGCAAATTCCTCAGTATGAAGTTTGAATTTGAAGACATTAGTACATCTCAACAATACTGCCAAATTGGAACACTTGTTCACAGCGCACTACTTTCGTGTGTTACGTTACCTAGTGACTTCCGAAAGCTTGGCATTATGGATTTCCTTAAACGTTCAAAATTTGATAAGTTAATCGGTAAAATCAAATCCCATACCACTAAAAACCCCGATGTTTTTCAGAGAAGGCAACAAGTGAAATGCTGATAGAATCAGACATCGAGAGTACAATAACAATTTGTGACGTGGTGCGGAGCCAAGAGATTTCGTAAGAAAGCAATTTTCCTCAAACCAATTTCCTTAGGCCTAAATATGCTGTTCAATGTTTAAAAAAACGCCTTCAGTGTGACAATCCGAATGTCGTTCTACACACACTTGATGTAAAGTTCTTTCTTCTTAATTTGTCTTCGCAGGTGTTGGAGTCATTGATGAAGAACTGTGGTGCACCCATACATGAAGAAGTCTGTAGCACGGAATTTATGCAAGATCTTGTCGGGTTAATAGACGTAAGCTTGTTACCAAACTTTATTTCTGCTCAGACCTCTCCAGACGTCCGCGCGAAACTCTTGGAGTGTCTCCAAAATTGGGCATACGTCTTTCGTGACCAGTCAGGCTACTCATCTGTAAAAGATGCCTACGAAAATTTAAAGAATGCGGGATATGTGTTTCCAGAATTCTCTGAAAGTGCTGCCATGTTTAGTGTTGTTTGTGCTCCAAGCTGGAAGGAAGGAAACACATGTCACAGATGTAAATCTGCATTTACTACATTTAGACGTAAAGTAAGAATTGATTGTTTAATTTTTCTGGGGCAGCACTGCATAATTTAATGTAATGACTAGTTCGACACTATCTACCGTGTTTGCATATCAAGACCTACTTAAATGTTCAGAAAGTCATTTTCTTGCGTAGCCTTAAAATTGTATACATTAAATACAGAAAATTGTGGTGTGAATAACGACCTCTGACAAATTAGAATCCGAGCGATGGGTTTTCTCAGAGAATTCGTATATTTATTTGCTGCGAAGTATCATGTACATCTAAATTATGAGGATAAAAAACTCACTGTTATAATTTAAGGCTTTAAAAGTGTGTAGAACGCCACTAGTGTCATTAAAATAGCCTGGTCTGCAAAAACGGTTGTTCGCTAGTTAAATCTCGGTGCATTACTCTTTACAAAACATTCTTCAAGCTTATAATAAATGCCTTACTTTTATAAAATTGACGTACGTAACACTCATATCTCCTCAGTAGCTCCTTTAATAAATTTTTGGGAAGTTTAGGTTTTATTTTATGGGATTCGGATACTATCGGATCTAACAGTCAATACGAGGGTTCAATAGAACATTCACGGTTAGTATAGAAAAATATACAGTCGTGTGTTATATAGACATAGGAATCTGTAAACCGCTTCATCAGGAAGTGTTCAAAGTCTTGAGTTACAAAACTTGGTTCACGTTGTATTCAGTAAATAACTAGTGTTATGTCCAACCACGCATAACGCACTTTCATACATTTATATTTAAAGTGAAATTCGATGGTCTCTGTGGACCAAGTATATTTGTATCATGGCATGAAGTGTATTTGTCAGACACCGAAATGTCCACATATGCAGATACTTCAAAATATGGGATATGAGAGGATGTTCCATCACCTAGAACAAAAGTTGCCTTATGGGCATCGTAAAAGTAGTTGTATTTACATAATAATGTGGCAGTATGATGCCCGGTGGGGATGTTTATTATATTGACTGATGACCTTTGATATTATGATAGACTAATCAAAAAGTGTTTTATAGGTTCGTTTACACTAAACAAGTTAACCACTAGTGTCAAATTTTAAAGCTATAACCCAATCACTTCTGGTATAGGGTATCGGTGTGTCTGGTATAGTAACTGACATGTACCATGTCCTTATTGTGTACTTTTAAAGGTGATAATACAGTAGCGATTCTTAAGCGTCGAGCGAATATTCACTGTTACGTTTGCATATATATATATATATATATATATATATATATATATATATATATATATATATATAAGCGTAACAGTGAATATTCACTCGACGCTGAAGAATTGTTTCTAAACAGAATAACAGAGAAAACTATGCTGGTTTTCAGTGAATAGCCATGTTTGTCAGATTTTCAGTTTCCATAAGATTTGCGAAAACAGTATGTTAAAGTGTACTCCTATCTAGGTATAATCGCTTTCAATGAATAAAAAGCAAAGATAAATTAACATATAACTTGATATAAAAATGCATTATTTCAAGTTATCGCACTTCATAACAGCACACTAAGAGAAGAAAAATCAAAAAAAAGACAGTGAATTAGACAAAAGTGTATCTCATGAGAGAATAACTTAACGGAAATTAATAAAAGTGTTCAAAATTTGAGAGATGGCAAAGGTTGTATCCGTCTGCGCTACTGTAATTAACTTTGAATCATACTACCAAGTATCTCCAACTAGTAATCCCTAGCATCACGAGAACCCCAGCCAAATAGCCTATACTCTGATACTGCTCGGTAGGACGGTTATAAAGTTCGAAAATAAGCGCCTTATCATCTGCGTTAGTATGGGTACCTGTATATCTGCACCTTATTGGTTCCAGGAAACAGGCGGTAGTTAAACCCGTATGTGCTTGTTTTGGAAGTTGAGAAAGTCAGGTGTGTATTTAGGGAGGAGATAGGTAAGGATTTATCAAAACATGACAGCAACTCTCATCGTGTTGAAGCCTGGCGTGGTGTTCGGTCTGCTGTAGAAACAGAGCCAAAGACAGATAGTAACCTGCATCCAAAGATTAACAAAAGTCAATGAATCTCTGTAACGTCATTCGAACTATCTAGTGCAAAAAGATTCATCCCAACTGACTCTGACCGTAATAAGAAGTGAAAGCAGCTGTAACGTAAATTGACTAGGAGTCTTCGTGATGATCGCGAACAGTGGTGGGTGGCGAAAGAAAAAAACTGAAGCAGGCATCAGCATTAGGTAGTATCGGCAATTATTTAGACTTGTTAAAAATACTGGCAAGATGACAGTTAGTGAAAAAATGGGACCCTGATAAGCTGTCCAGACATACAAAAGACTTTGAAACAGAGTTAAACTGGCGCACAGCAACGCTTCATTTTCCTATCATTCAACCCGAACCTAAATGCGACGTAGATGTCGGTCATACAACTCTCTTCCAAGTTAATAAGACTGTCTCGAACCTGAAACTATGCCTCCTGAAGTTCATAAGGAGGGAGGTAGGGAATTATTGATTAGAGTAATTGAGGTGCTAGGTAGTGCATTGAAATCAGAAGTAGCCCCATCAAATTTCCCTGATCATTCGTCTGTAAGAGAAGAGAGAAGGCTTCTTTTGACGACCATAAAAGAATCATTTTGACTAGCATGGATTCCAAGATCCTTAAGTCCATAGTTATCCTATGCCTAACTAAAGCTCGAGAAAACTAGGCAAATTTCAGACTAGGACGAGGTCGCGTCGATCACCTCTTCAACCTTCATCAGATTATGGGACACAGGCATAATTTCTGGTGACCGACACTTACCATATATGTTGATCTCAAGACAGTATTCGAACGTCAAGTGTTAGTCTCTGGGTATGAAAAGATTACCTAGCAAGTATGTAACACTAATCAAAGCTCTGCACTCGAACTTAGCCGTGCAAATGTATTGGTGGACATAAACTTAGGTACCGTTGATTTGACAGGAATTGGTCTACTTCCTGAGCGGCCTCTGGCTGACTTGGACTACTTAGACGAGATTGTCCTCCTAGATGAAGAAGCTGACAAAATACACCGTCTTCTGAACGCCTGGAACACAAATATGAGCGTATTTGCCATGCCCAATGTAAGATGGTGCTCTCGATCTGGTCTGCAAGTACTTTCAGTTTAAGGACCACTTGACTTACTTGAGGAGTTGCATCAACCCGAACGGGTTGGTTGTTGACGAAATCTAATCTGGAATGCAGAATGCTCGTTCAGCATTTGCCAAGTTGCGTAATCTATGACTTTGACTGCGAGATATGTGACTGACTACCTATTATTTGACGAGCATACTGGGCTTCAGTTGATTCTATCCTGTGATACTATTGTGATACATGGTCATAGTATGCAGGTTTTCGAACAGAGTTTTCTTCTTAGCATTGCTGGTGTATATTGAAGTCATCGTGTGAGTAATATCGAGGTTAAGCGTTAGGTAGTTGACAAGGAAGGCAAGTCAGTTGATGATGAAGGTTGATTGACTGAGGTGGCTTGTATATGTGTTGCACATACTGACCTGCGGCGTGCATTTATGTGTAATGTTATTCGAAGTAGGATTGGATTGAAAGAAAGCCTAAAGTGGCCAGACTAAGACGTAACAGTCCATAAAGTCTCTGGTCGCTTATCTGAGCCGTGTAGGAAGGTATAGACTGTCGGACTGGAGACTTGGTGGTATGTCTGAAAGTTGGTGACAATTGCTCAGATGTATTCACTGTTTGACATCTTATGAAGTTTAGTCATTTTCAATAACCTTAATTTTCGGATTTCTTTTCCTGCTACACACCTGTCTACTTTGATATGAGTCTTTTTCTGTTTATTTTTGTTTGTATGCTGCTGTGAAGTGTGGCAACTCGGACTGACTCGCTTATTTTAGAAGTTCTATCTTGATTTCACACGCCTATGCGCCTCATCATCTGACCACTTAATTTTATTATTCGATCCTACTTCAGTTAACATGCCAGCACCACTTAATTTAAAGCTACGTTATAGTACTAGGTACAAAATTATCTCTGTTCTCTAATCAACAGTATTTGTTGAGATTTCGATCCATCTCCCTGTTTGAGCTTTGTTTCTGCTCCTAAATATTCTGCGTTTCTTGTCGATTCTTAAATTCATATCTGCGACTCGTATGTATTGACCATTCTCTATTGGTTTTCTTTTCGATGTGGTTGTTAATCTTGTTCCAATGGACTATGGAAGAAATACCTAGATGCAATAGCTGTGGCTTATTTTTGAACTACCGTTATTGAGTTAATAAACCATTCCATTTGGTAAACGTTTTCTCCATTAGCATAGCATTGAGATGAGTGGGATAAAAAGCAATCCACTGTTTATTACCTGGCGACCGGTTTTTTGCACTAACGAGCAACTCATCACAGACTCACCTGTTATCTTGCCCGCTATTCTAGGCAAGACCGCAACCTTCACTGTGTGGTTCTACTTCGTGCAAGCAATGCTACGGATACCTCTTTGATCAAAGACCTGTGAAGTTGTACCCTCGACTTCCAGTGTTCATTTATCGTAGTCATAGGGAATAAAGTGAACTACTACACTGTACATCTGTTTTTTGTTTTGCTGTCAGGTATGAATACCTCGGTGGCACTAGGGATGATATAATTTGATTTATACCGGACTAGCTTTTCGTATCCTTCCTTAGATTTTATCATCAGCCAACCCATTAGAGTTTATGTAAAGTTATCAATGCATTCCACCACTATCCATTATCTTTAAACTAGGAGCCGGGGTAGACCAATCCTATAGCACCAACCAGTGAGTCGTCAGTTCAAACCCAGTTTCATTTGGTTTTGGGTAGCTATGTTGTAATTAACTATCACACTAGATAGATTGTTAGAAGTTTAGTATCAAAATTCACGTGTGATTACCATTTTGGCAACCTAAACCGACGCACCTCTGTGTGAGGTCCCATCCTAATTTTATCTGTCTCTCCTGACTCATCTTTTTTCTTGTCCCAGATATCTATGTACAGCGTTTTCGCAAAGATACTTAAAGCCGAATTTACTTTTGCTGCCACTAGTTTTGGACGACAAAAGTAAACCTATAATATTTATTTCCAGAGATCACACATACATATTATAGGGGGATTCACATTAATACAATATGCATGAAACTTTAGTAAGGCTGAGCTACAAAACTTCACTCCACTGTTGTTTCTTTGCTTTTTAGCACCATTGTCGAAATTGTGGTCAAGTATTCTGTGGTGAGTGTACCACATCCCGTGCAGTTTTACCTAAATATGGGATCGAAAAAGAAGTTCGTGTTTGTGACCTGTGTTTTGAGACACTTAACAAGTAAGTCGTTCTCGTTGACCCTTACTACCAGTAGTCTTCATAAAATTGTTGAATAGTATATTACAGTTTCCTCATAGTGAGTCCATGAAACGTGACTGGTGGGTTTCTCTTGATTATTATTTTACTGACCTCGGATACACTATTTTTGTTTTAATACTGTTGACCCACAGATTATCGGTTCGACACTATCATTTAGCCTGCAATTTCAATAGCATCTCATTGTGCTATAGGAAAAGACTATATGCGTCTGGTATGTTACAAATCAGCACCATATGGTACTTTTTTCTCTCATTCTCTTGACAATTAGAGGGTAATGCTTCTTGTTTAAAATTGGTTTGTCATTGCATCAGTGTTAACTCAAACAAAAACTCATGCGAGTTAATCCTTCAACCAGTGCTTTGAATCATAGCATCATTCTGGGACTCATTCAACTGTTAACTAGTGCGTGTGCGATACTGACTGCTATTCACTCAATCTATTCTGTTCCGCCTGAAAATTGTAGTGAGTAGTATCTTTTGGTGAATATGCCGTTTTATCAGTCACATTCTTGAAACCGAACGATTTACTGGCTTGAGATCTCACCAAAATTTATTTCGAGCATAAAAATATGAAACAAATAAATTCACTCTTTTTTCTTATTCTGTCATTGTTATCATTCATTATCGGTATTATTACCATCATGTCACTGGTCTAGGCTTTTGACTTTTAATCAGTGCATCGCAAATCCGAATTCCGCTTTCACCAATGGCGTTCCAGCAGCCAGTTAGTATCGTAAACCTTCCCATAATATGTATGACAGCTTGCTTAATACACAGACCTGCGCGCAACCTCTAAGTTACACTACTTAGTAAATAATTATTGAATCTTTGTTAGCACTTCTATAATTACTGTCACCATTGTTATCTATATCGCCACGTCATTTTCATTCACCGTATGTAATGAAATGTTATTCTCCTGTCATACCGTACCAACTTTTGTCGTAAGTAGAAAATTTTTGTTAAAGATTACAAAATTGTAACTACCTAGAAACTCATCTCATGATCTATGATACACTATTCTCTGCTTAGCTACTTGTTTAGATTCACTTCATCTCATTGTCGGTTTCCATTCTATTGGGTATTCTACAACTCATTACAAGGTAATAATCCTTTTACTGTACCTTTTTACGTCAATGCTCTGTTAAGTTTGGTGTAAGTCTGCATCTGACATAGTCGCCTGTCATCAAACTGGAAGTCTAATACTTTTGACATACATTATTTGCACAGTATGGTTGAGTACAGCTAATTGATGTTCGGTCGACGAAATCGAAATACTCTCAATAACATTGTGCACATTAGTTCAGTAGGCAGTGAACCACACCTATTGCGTATGGGCTAATGAAACCACCTGACTGCACAAACCTCGGCAGTAGGTGGAGTGAGGTTCGAACACGTGACCCATTAATTGAAAATCAACTGCCTTAGCCAATAAGCCACAACTCTATGTTTGAGTGATACTTTGTAAAATGACAATGCTAATGTAAATTGTCAACTGTATGCATTTTAATTCACAGGATTGTGAACCCCATGACAACTAAGTTATGACTGTGCAACTTTCTAACATATTCATTACAGTTTTTTGAAGTCACGGAACACCTCGGTATATCAGTGAAGTTGAAAAGTATACATTTGTAACATTTTACCAAGGTTTGAGCGAATTACTTACTTAATTAGTATTGATAGCTGAAAAAATCCATCATCAAAGTAAAACATCATAGAATCCATACGATCAGAAAGTCAGACAAAATGGTCTAGCGACAACGCCACACTTCATGTTCAGACGTCTGGAGGAGGATGTACAAAATCACTAAAAATATAATCAGTTACTTGTTTTTCTGACTAACTTATTTCTATTCAAAAATACTGAAAACACTTGGATTATTATTTGCTTTAATTGAAATAGCTGGATTCTCGCACTAACTGTTATGGGAAATCAAGCTAAGCTAGCAAAACTTACTGGTCGTACATATCTTAATCTGTGCTTATTATGTAGGAAACGTCTTCCTAACTAACCATTCCTTTTTACACTTGTTTTTCAACTTCATCTTGCTTCAGGACTCTTCTCCATCAATGACTGGTTCAACACTCGACCAGCATTGTCTTTGGAGCATCGCTTGCTTATGATGGAATCAATGTGTAAGTAATGCAGTAGTCAGGCTTAGAGCAGTATTCAAAAGAGGCAGACCAGGTCATTAGGTTTCATTGATCAAAGTGATCAAGACATATCAAGCCACTTCCCACTCAAAAATCCTAGGCTAACCAGCATATTATTCATTTAAGAAGAGCTAAAAGGGACCTGGTCATGATAGAAAGCAATAACCCTCCTGGTTTGTTGTGTTGGCTTACTGGTAGGCACCCACGAGAAACAGCTGAAGTCGATAACTGTTGACCATTAGTGCACAGAATAAATCATGATGGTGTAATTCGTTTAGTTTAAAGATATTACTAAATTTCCTAAATCTTTTGTTACTTTTTGATTTGATCTATCAACTTCTTTCATGGCTATTAATCTCATTATTGTCATCCCACTGTCTTTCATTTTGATGATTCCTCTCCCCATCACTTATCTTTAGTTTGGCAGCTTGAACCAATATGAAGTTTCCTTTTAAATATTTAAGCATGTCTATCTGTCTGTCTACAGATGCATTTCATATACACGAGGTACCAACTAATCATTATAACTTGAAGTCTGCTAAAAAAATCTGCCATGAGACCTACCAACAAGTGAGATGAGTGGTAGACAAAAGATTGCCTGTAGCTTCTTTTATGCATATTTTCCGTTGTATGAAAGTGTGATGCACAAAAGTCATCACCATTCAATTCAATCCAAGGCACTTAAATTTGTTTTCGTGTATATATTTTCTATGTACAAGTATTCTTACGAAATATTAAACACCTTCATCTTTTGTATGATTGATTTGTGTGGTGAAGAAACACATAACATTTTCCCACCAACTAATTTCACCTACCATTATATCTGGAGAGTGATGACTCTAATAGCAGTACTGAGAATTTCTTTTGCTGATGCTAATAACTTTGACCTTCTGGAAAAAGTTTATATGTTGACTATTTCTGTCTGACCTCTTATCCATCCTGGTGAAGTGATTAACTTAGGTGGCTAAAATTTCTACCGTATTACTCTCATGTTTAATAACTATAAAATAAATTAATTCAACTTACCTACATGAAGTTTCCTCACACTGAATGAAACCAACAAATTAAATAATCAAATCCAAATTTAGTCTGTAACTACTGTCTAAAAAGTGTTTGCCATATTTTTCTCCATGATTCTATAACAGACATTCATTTGATAAGTGAAAAGGGAGACAGTGAATTAACCATTGCTTATCCGATTTTGAACTATCTTTCCTGGGTCAGGTAAACAATCGTTTCGTCAACAAAGTAATTTTGTTCTATTTTTAAAAAAAAATACCTACTTTTTAGTATGATTTAATCAAACGAATTTTTTTTTTCTTCCTACCTTTCAATTAAGGCCACAAACAGCTGTAAGTAATACAGAAGATAAAAAGACTATTGAAAAAGAAAATCAGGTAGGTGTGTGTATGATCGTTTTTCGTGTACAACTCAAAACAACTTTCGTTACCTCACCACTTCTAAACCGTTTTCTTTCAGTTGAATAGAACTCTGATATACATCGCTATATACCTCTTCAATTATTTCGGAGTTTCACATACGGTTTTTAATGCATAGTTTTTCGATGAATAGTACTTTTGTCCCTTGAGATCATTCCACGTGAAAGACGTAATTTTCTTGTAGCACTACAGAACACATACAGACAGAGATAGAATCAACATAGAATCCATCACATACAAGTTTATTGACTCAAGTTGCCACACTTCACAATAGTATACAAAGAAAGGGTGAGCAGAAAAAACTGATATCAGAGTAGACAGAATAAACAATTTGAAGATAAAGGTTAGTGCAAACATCCAAGCTGTAGAAGACGTCAAGGCGTAAATACATCAGCACTACAGTGACTGGTTTTCAGCCATCTCACCAAGAGTCCTCAATCACTGATTCCTATCGTCTCGGGGACCGCAGTCAGTTAATCTACATCTCTCCACACGACTCGGATAGATAGTCAGGGACTTCATCGACTGGTGCCACGTTTTAGTCTGGTCACTCTGATCCCTGTTCCAACCTAATCCGACTTCCCCTAGTATGACACGTCGAGGTTGTCATATACCCCTGATTTTGCATAGCTTTACCTGCTGTTTTGCCCATGATCTTAAAATAACCTCCATAGCTGTTTTCACACCGTTGATAGTTTTTCTTCTCTCTCCTCTCAAGGCTGAACTCTCATTAGTTGTTAACTGTTTTAACCTATGTGGATTCAGTGTTGTCAAGGTCATTTAGAAATGTATATATTCACCATCGCTGTCAACTGTATTGACTGTTGTTGAGAAAGTAAAAAGCTCTCTGTCAACGGTGTATCTTCTTTTCTTTTTCTTCGCGCGTCGGCGATATTGTTGTTGTGGTGGTGGTTGACGTTTTGATTTGCGTTAGAGTCCATTCGTTGCACGTTAGGTTCGTAGTCTGCTAGGCTCGTATCGCTCGTACACTGTTAGGTCGTACTACCAGTCATCTCAAACAACAGAGCAGAAATATTAAGAAGACCTTATACCTCAATAAGTACTCGTCTAAATTTATTAACAAGTTCATAAGATGTTGCGAGAAAAATATCAACAGTAACGGTAATGCGTGCCAATAATAACAATGATAGTCATAATGATAATAGTGGGGATGTTGTGAAGGGATAATTTAATACATCCACAGCGTTCCCATACAACGAAGGCACCTCAGAGTGGTTACAGAGGATTCTCAATAAGATTGGCATTAGATTAGGACTCGGACCTACAAACTTACTTAAAAACAAGCTTTATAAGTCGAAAAATCCCATTGATCCAATTAGGCAAAATAATTTTGGTCAACCAAATCCCTTGCAATGATTATGAGGTCAAATAAGTGGGTTACAGTAATCGACCAAGGTCAATTAGGTAAGATAAGGGATCTAAAGAAAAATTCGGTTATGTATGGGACTATATAGTGACAATTTTAGAAACTTTGGCATAGGTAGAGATCATTGACGAGTCCTAACAAGCAAACAGCCTAAGGGTGGTTCAGGGCTCCTTGTTGATCGCATTCAGTTGTTAAACACCAATAAAAGTCCTTCATGATGCTTGCCGACCAGGCTATAAAATGATTGATAAAACTTGGTCAGCGCTCAGGAGTGGACAACATGGTATCGCTTATTTTTCAGTGACTAATCAATGTGACTGAATGTCTGTTCATCGAACCGACACCAAATACATGCAGCAAAAGTGACTAAGCATCTGTTCCAGATATACGGGAAATGCTACTGTCCATATGAGAAAAGAGAAAGGACTAGAACTATATAAACCATATCTCAAAGTTGTAGACTTACCTTGCTGTGAATATGGGCAATAAATTGTGTCTGAAACGTTATCCAGTGAATGATTCTGTTTCACTGTGATGCGCTTAACAAACAAGCTAGAAGGAGTGTACACCAACCATTTAGCACAAAAGGAAACTCTCTGCCCTAACATTTATGGTCATATGACAACGCATAGATAGTTGCCTTTTAAACTGTACACAAAAGCGTTGTTCCTTAAAGTTACTCACTTTCAGAAACTGGTGTTTTACTCGCGAATAGTTTAATTAACTAAAAGTACACTGATAATGCAATTCTGTGCAGGTAAAAGCGATTAAAATAGTTTCTTTTGTTTCCTGTAGAAACCGACACATCCTAACAGGTATCCAGACTTCAGGTCATCTCATTCAGTGTCAAGTTAAAGCAGATTTAGTCAAATGTCTAAATGATATAGGCCCCAAAAACTCACCAGTCATTGTAAGGACTGAAACAAGGAATTGAAACACAAAAGAAGCGTTAATAACTAATAATTACCATCTACAGTTTATTAAGAAATTCGTAGGAAAACATAAAAAACAAAATAATAACAGTAATACGAATACGATTGATAGCGACAACACAGGTTAGTTAGTTCAAAATCTCTATGATGTTACTTTATAAGGAAGGGACATCAGAAACTTTATGCAGGATTCTCAACGAAGCCGGAATTAGGGTGGCAAAATCACTCAAAGGTAAGCTTTGCCGGATGCGATAGGATCAATTAAGCAAAATAATCTAATCTATCAAATTCCATGCAATGACTATGAGGTCAAGTACATAGGTCAAACTAGCCAGTCGGGATCAATTATATTGGTGGAACATAGAAATTCAGCTAAGTATAGAATGACGGACCCCGATACGACCAGTAATCTAGAAAAACAGTCGGCTATTCCAATGCATGCATGTAACACACAATCACATAATAGGGTGGGCTAAAACCACTGTACTAATATATTCAGGTGGGGAGAGAGATTTATTACCGAAACCTTATTGACTGAATCTATACCCGACACATGTAACGGGAATGACGCAACACAGAGATATGGAAAACTTTACTACCAATAAAAATAAAGAATATGAAGTGACAGGATTATAAAAATTAGATATCGAAAGAAGTGTGATTACATTGATATGATTATGAGCAATAATTTATGCTCGAAACGTCATCAAGTAAATAATACTGTATTCTTTATCTCTTAAAATGTAAGATGATGCTCTAGTATTCGACCACATTGATACCTGGTTTGACAATTCGTAATGAAGAGGGTAAGCGTGTTTATAACTTCACTCACCTAAAGAGTTTCATCAGCCCCGAACAGCTGTTGAAATCTCGGTAAGGATACTAAGGTCAGTTCAGTTTTTTCAAAATTACCTTCTGTAATATATGTAAAACATCTTATGTCGATTATGCAAACCATCGAAAGGTGTGCTTCCCAAAACCATAAGGTTGATGTATGGTATTTTGATAGGAAGACATGAAAAAGTTCTAGATAGTCGATAGCTAATACCATGAAAGTATCGCTTCAGGTTGGTTCAACCTTCCAGTCACAAGTATAGTACTAGATGAAAACAAACTGATAGGTGTTTTGAATCTGCACCGAAATGGTTGGCAAATGTGCAATGCATAACTGAAAATCACCAACCTTCAGGCGTTATGTTAACTGGAGTAGAAGTAGTGCGAAGATTTCAGAGTAGATAGATGAATACATGCGACAAATTTACGGCATTTGTGATAGTTACTCTCAGTTGAGTACGGTAACATCGGCCTTCTTCCTGGTTTCTGCAGGACAATCGATTCTTTATAATTTAGCTGTATTGACAAAAAGTAGAGCACAACACGTGCATATCAGTAGTTGGCACAATATAAGTTACTTTAATCTCCTCACCCCATAATTTTATAACTTAGACTTTACGCTTTTTAGCATTGTGCAGCGGAATAAAAGCTTCAGATTATCAGATAGTGTGGAATAATGCAAGAAACTCCAGTTTCCACACCATTTTGTCGAGCCTAAGGTGCACAGATGAATGGGTTACACATTTATAACTCAAAACGCACAATGCTTGCTGCACATAGGAACCTCATGTTGTGTGCTTTCTCCTCAGTTGACCAGACGAATTTCATTGCTAGATGTTGCATAATGTGTCCATAGGTGTCTTTGTAGCATCGCTCACGTTTGGTGGAATCACCATGTGAGCAATATTGAGGTCAAACGAAGGGTACTAGGTGAAGTTGTGAACCTTATTCGACTGAGATGGCTTGGATATGTGATGCGCATGTCAAGCGGACCACCGCTTACCTCGACGTGGCATACTAGGGGAAGTCGGATTAGGTTGGAACAGGGATCAGAGTGATCAGACTAAAACGTGGCACCAGTCGATGAAGTCCCTGACTATCTATCCGAGTCGTGTGGAGAGATGTAGATTAACTGACTGCGGTCCCCGAGACGATAGGAATCAGTGATTGAGGACTCTTGGTGAGATGGCTGAAAACCAGTCACTGTAGTGCTGATGTATTTACGCCTTGACGTCTTCTACAGCTTGGATGTTTGCACTAACCTTTATCTTCAAATTGTTTATTCTGTCTACTCTGATATCAGTTTTTTCTGCTCACCCTTTCTTTGTATACTATTGTGAAGTGTGGCAACTTGAGTCAATAAACTTGTATGTGATGGATTCTACGTTGGTTTTGGCTATGTCTTTGTCTGCTAATGGACAATTAAGAAAATGTTGACCGTGCGATCCCAACCCAGCGGTTGAATGCCAACCTACTCACCGCGAGACCTGACGGTTGTGGGCTGGTTCCCTCATGGTGTTGGTGTTTAAAGCGAAGTGACTCACGTATTGAAATAGACTTTCATCAAAATCTAAATTCCACTGGTGAAATTTAGGTAATGAAAATAAGCGTAAATAAAATCGGTGTACAAATACACCCTCCACTCCTGCAATGATGTTTAAGAAAGTGATGAAAAGTGATAAATCTGTTTCTAAGGGCAAATGTAGTTTTTTATTTTTAGTAGCATAATGGTTTTTCAAGTAAGTTCGCTACGTAATATTAAGTGCATAGACTGCGTATTCCAATCAGTATCCGTCTTACCAGCAGTATTTAAATCGATAAACATGAATCGGCCTTATTGTTGTTGTCAGCCAACTACTCGGCACTTTGTGGTTCAGGCTTCAGATTGTATGGAACTCATGACATCAGCTTGGTAAGAATAACTGCTATCCTGAGTTAGGAGTATCTTTTTTGCAAATGATGATCCAGTCGTACTGCGAATATAACTAAAAACATTATAATTGACACTGTATCTGTGTATTTCAAACCAACAACTGCTACCTTGACATAAAATCAACTTTGCTTACAACAATGGCTTATCCTAAACTCACTGCTTGAAAGCTTGTCAAAAATTCTGCCGCAGTGATAACTGTAAGAGGAGAAAAAACTTTTTGTCTAAAACAAGTGATCTTAATGTCATATGTATAAGAATCTTCAGTAGGAAATTAACTCTCTGTTTTGACAATGATATCTCCGATACTGAAGAAGAGGGACTAGAGGCGATTACATATTGCCTTATTGCATGACTTCCCTTTGTTGATGACAAGCTTATTTTGAAATGAATGGAACTCATCACTAATTAATCGTAATCTGTCCATTGTATCGCTGAGAAGAAAACATATTCATGTTCTTCACTGATTGTATAGTGCTGAATTCAAGTGTAACATTTTAAAAGCTGAAAAGTTACAATTGAGATAATTACGATATTTGTTATGTATACTAAGTCACCACTTTAACATGCATTGACACCTCCAAGGCTCACCTTAAAGTTTGTAGTTAATTTATGAGATCACTTACTGTCGTTCTAAATTATCTGAATATGTGTCAACATGATGTCTAATGTCGATGATATATAGAACTGAGTTGTTTGAAGCCACAAGGGAGGTCTGACTCAAGGATTAGTCATACATGCATGCAATTGTTATCTTACCAATCGTTGAATACATTAGTCCGATGAGAATTTCGACAAATGGAACTAAATTGCTGTTCTAAGACGTCCTACTACGTTAAATGTTTCAAATGTAACAAAACATTGTTTGATTCGTGTTGCTTCATTGTGCATACACATAGTTTAATCATATGTTTAACATTGCACTAGGTAGTGGTAATCACCCACTTTTAAGCATTTCGTTTACACTCTGACTTGTCCAGGTCAATAGTTTTGCAATTTTTTGTAAACCACTTTATCTCAAAGACAATCTGTCCTCGTTGCTCAGTGATTTACAGAGTGTAACCTTATCCCAACTTCCAGCTTCGACGCGAAAGAGAACTGAAAGAACGCCAATTGGAGCAACAAGAAATGAAGATTTGGAATTGGCTTTAGCTCTAAGCGCCAGTGAAGCGGAATCAAACCAACAGAATGTGAGTCATTGTAACAGCTTAAGGTTTTTTGTGTACTCTTTATGATTAGCAAAGGCTAACTGTTCCAGGTTAAAATAGGCCGTTAATAAACTCCCTGTAGTTTGTCATGATTATATTTAGTAATGAATAATCTTGTTTACTGCATCTACTTATGCAGTTGTATTTCAAAGGTGGCTTCAAACGTTTCTTTAGCATCAAGTTTTGTTTCTCGTTATGATTCATCTAGTTCATGGTCACTATATTTTCCAGGTCAACTTTACACATATCAGGTTAACCCATATACTTTATAATTTTAATGCACAAATAGAGGTGAAGCTCTTTAGTCTAAACAGTTAACTTTCAGTTAGTAAATCATGAATTCGAAATCCGCCCTATCTACCGAAATTTGACCAGTTGTGTAGTATCACTAGGTGTGGCTCATTGACTAGTGCACCTTAGTGAGTAGTAGTATGGAGTGAATCGTAAAGTAAAAAGATCATATAAGATGCCAATTGTATTCCAATTGTGGTAAGTGCATTCATCAATCACATATACACAGGTTCATACAAAAGGATAAGAACTAAGTCTATTGTATGAGAGAGCTAAGTGGCTATTGAAGTCACTAGATGAGAAACTGAGTTCAAACTTACAACCTACAAGATAGAAGTTAGGCTTATAAAGCAATTATGCAACATCTGTTGAGATAATAAAGATTTATAACTCAGTAGGAGAATAATAACAGTTTTGATGTTCTTTCAGCTTTGATATTCTACTATGATTAGCAACGTTTCACTATTTCTCAGCCATTGAATAGCATTTTATGAACTTTGAACATTATCCAACAATTAGTACATTCAGGCTTTTATCAAATGGATGACACATTCCAATGATATTGAAAACTGTTAACTAGATTTAAGTATAAAAGTGAGTATCTGCTATTGTCTTACTGTTTGTATAATGATTTCCCACTTTACTATATTACAGTTAATTAACTGAGGTAATGACGTTCTATTTCATTGGCTGTTTTGTAAATCAACACTTTTAGCAAGTCAGTGGAATGTGAACGATATGCATAAAAACTGTGTAAAATAATGAAACCTTTGTTCTACTTCAATCTTATATTACTCTCTATTTGTTTTGCTTTTTGTTAATGGCGAACTTTAGTATTATTATGAGTCAGTCAACTAATCTCTTCAGAATTATATATACATTGTATTAGATAGAGGGGGCTGCATTAATAATTTCATTTTTAATGTTATTAGTTTTATCGTTTATGGATAGTTTTTCTTGATCACTTCTTTGATAGAATCAAGTGAAACCAACATCTAATGTTAATAAGCCTCCTGTGTCATCATCATCATCAATATCCGGAGTTGCCCATCTTCTTCCAGTTCTGGATACTAGTGAAATGGATCCAGAGCTAGCCCAATACCTTTCTAAGCATTATCAGAGAGCTCAAAATTCTACTCATGATATGAATGCATCCAGTGTTACATATCACGAACATTCTCAAGATTTTTCTGGGCACCTACAATCCACCACTCAGCCTAGCGCACCGATATATGCTTCCAGTACACCGTCTGATCATGGTACAGTTTCTATGACCAATCTTAAATCAGGCATGAATAATGACCTCAATGCACCGGTAAAAGGCGTGCCCGTTGGGACGGTAAGTTTATTTTATGAAATCCACTGTTATGATGCTTGTTTTATATATATATATATATATATATATATATATATATATATATATATATATATATATATATAATATATATCACCTTTCCATCAAATGGCAATGCATGGACATAACCTTGGATAACTCTGAATTCATAGGGACTGATCTGCCTAGCGGGCATGTTGCTGACTCGGAATATGCGGACAAGATTGTCGTGCTAGGTAAAGACGCTGACAAAATACATCGTCTTCTGAACGCCTGGAACACAAATATGAGCGTATTTGCCATGCATTTCGCACCTGTCAAATATAAGATGGTGCTCTCGATCTGATCTGCAAGTACTTTCAGTTTAAGGACCACTTGACTTACTTGAGGAGTTGCATCAACCCGAACGGGTTGGTTGTTGACGAAATCTAATCTGGAATGCAGAATGCTCGTTCAGCATTTGCCAAGTTGCGTCATCTATGACTTTGACTGGCGAGATATGTGACTGACTACCTATTATTTGACGAGCATACTGGGCTTCAGTTGATTCTATCCTGTGATACTATTGTGATACATGGTCATAGTATGCAGGTTTTCGAACAGAGTTTTCTTCTTAGCATTGCTGGTGTATATTGAAGTCATCGTGTGAGTAATATCGAGGTTAAGCGTTAGGTAGTTGACAAGGAAGGCAAGTCAGTTGATGATGAAGGTTGATTGACTGAGGTGGCTTGTATATGTGTTGCACATACTGACCTGCGGCGTGCATTTATGTGTAGTGTTATTCGAAGTAGGATTGGATTGAAAGAAAGCCTAAAGTGACCAGACTCAACTGATTGCTACTACTTAGACGTATTGATCGAACTTGTGTATCACAACGACCCAACTAGTTATGCTGTTGAAATGCTTGTTCCCTCGTCCTACCAACTAGAACGATTCCTTAAGTAGCGGAAGGAAAGAAAGTAGTTAGCGTGATGGTGTTAATTTTTACGTCATGATTGAGGTCCGAGGGTGAAGCAGTACTGCTGACTGGAAGTGGGTGTGATAGCAGCAGGCTATTTCCCTTGGGTGACCAGCGGTGCCACACAGATGCCATCCTCCTTAAGGGAGGAGGAGTCTGAAAAGATCACACCTGTCTGCTCAGCGGTGTCGGGGGTATGAGTTGATGGTCGGATTTGCGCGAAACGAACCTAACTATCAAACTTCTAGAAGACCATATGTGGTACGCCCCAAGCAGATATCCCTTGGGTTCTGCGCTCATGAACTGACCCTTTTTTCTCAGGTATCGCAAAAAGAAGTAGCTTCCTACGGTGTGGGTAGTCCGGAAGTGTCAACCACTCTCACAACTCTGTCAGCCTTCAAGTCCCCTTAGGTCACTGACCACCTCACTAACTTCGAATCTTCCTTCGGGTCTCTCGGTCAATACTCTTACGTCATCTTCAATTTATCGTAGCTCTGCAGCTCTTAACAACGATCTGATTCCACAGAACAACATGGTCTCCTGAAACCACCACGCATTGCAGCTTTCAGTCCCAGCACTCTCCAACGGGCCAGCTACATTTACTTCCAAAACTCTGGTGTCTCAGACCATGGATGTGTTTGTTCGTTAGACACACGTAAAGGACCCGCCTGCGGTTACTCACTAATCTTCATCCGCTCAACATAAATATATAAAATTCACACTTAGGGCTTTTGGAGATTCAATGGCGAGTTCTCGTAGTTATTCAGGTGTGCAGGTACAGCATTAACTGTTGAAGTACAAGTTCATTGCCTGACTGGATCCTAGTTGACAGTTTGCATATATACTGTTTGACTGAACGAGTCATAAACTTATTGTCGTCTCGTTATTTATAACATCTGA